CACACACACACACACACACACACACACACACACACACACACACACACACTCGCCCCTCAACCCCCCAAACTCGGCGGGCGGTGATGTCAACCCGGTGCTCGGCGCCCCCCACGCCCGCGGCTGACCCTGAAGCCAGACTCCGGGACTCGAGGAGGCCGCGCTCTCCCCGGGCTGGCGGCGCGCAGGCCCCGCGGCGGCGCCTCATCCCTGCCCGTGCGGCCCACAGCGCCCTGAGCACGGGCGCGGCCGGATCCCGCGAGGCCTGAAGACTAGGCCGGGTGGGGCGCGCCGCGTCTGGGCGGAGGTCCTGGGTTCAGACCTGAGCCGGAGGCAGACCAGAGTGGGGGAGGAGGAGAGTCTCCTGTCGCTCCAGCCAGGGCCGCAGGGCCACGAGTGGGGCCGGAGGGTGGCTGGCATCAGCCTGAACTGACTTGGGCCTCTGCCCCAACTTGGGCTCCCAGGCGCAGAGATGCGAGTACTTTAACCCGCTAACTCCGAGGGGCAGGCAAGATTTTGGAAAACACTGCTCTGAAAGATCGCCGTGGATTCGGCGGAGAGCGGGAGCGGCTCTCCTGCGCCACCACTGCCCACACCTTGGCGCTCAGTTCCCGCAGTCCCGCCCAGGGCCTCCCGGGGTCCTCTGCCTCTCGCCCAGGCCCTGCGGGACTGAGGGTGGGGACACACACAGAAAAGGTGCGATTAAAGGAACCGAGTGGGAGAACAGTTGAGGAAACCGACCATTATCTAAAAACTCGTAAATTTCGATAGCCGGAACTTGACTTGATTGAATTTCTCTTATCTGTGAGGGTTAGAAACATTCCCAAGGTGAAATACGAAGGGCCAAGAATCTTTGTGCGTAAGATAAAAGTTTGGAGCAACAGATCTTTGTGAAGCCGACTGACCCACCTGATCTCCGTCCCCCCAAGCCAAGATTCTATTGCCGTTTCAGGTCATCGTTAATTGCCAATATGCAGTTGAAGTCGCTCCCTGACGCCTTCGGAGGGTGACGTCATTTCAGTACAGGTATCTCCAAGACTGGGTTTAACTTCAACCCGGTGTTGACTAGGAGTGGCGATCTGGACGTCTTTAAAGCCAGCGCTAGCTCCCCGCCCCCCTTTCCCTACCTCCGTTGCCTGCGGTCAAGGGGGAATTCATTTCTACTTTGCCGTCAATTCAAAGGGATTTAACTCCGTGGTCTGTTACGCGAAGTTGTGCAACGGTGATGGAAAAATTAGTTTCAGAGGGTGCTCAACGCCTTTTTTTGACCTCCTCCGTTTTTATAGGATCGGGAGAGAAAGCAAACTGCGTTATTTGCCGAGTAGTGCCATGTTTGTCATTATTTTTAACGAAGGGGGGGGTCTTTACTGATCCTTTGTGGGGCATTCTGAAAACTGAAAGCAGTGTGAGAAATTATTTTGGATCTGCTTTACTGTTGCTTGAGAAAAGCTGGAGGAGCGTGAGACCCAGAAGCTGGAAAATCATAAAACAAAGATTCTCCCTGGGGCCTCAATTTCCCTTTGGTGTAAACTAGTGTAGGCTGAATATTATTAGTCCGTACTCGAAAACCTTGCCATCAGGTTTTGCCTCAGTTGCCGGTTGTAAGCTATTGCATTTCCTTTAGCAGTGAAACAAAACCAATTTACTTATTAGGCAAGATTATGTAGGGGTCAAGAGAGCATGCACAGCCAGGGACAGAACAATTAGCCAGAAAACAAAATGGTTGCAACTGCTAAAGTTCATTTAAAAAGTTACAATCAAGAGTCACTTAATTTTGGTCAAACTGAAGAGCATAGAGTTTAAAATGAAATTAAATATTGCTTTTACCTGAGGAGCACCATGAACCATTGGCTCATTTGTCTTTTCTGGTGATTGGTTTACAAAATGCAGGTAGAAGTGAGAAGAGACCTATTTTTTTTTTCCTCAGCACTTTCTTTAAACAAAACAAAAACAAAACTGACCAGGATGCCTTATGTTCAACTACTGAAATTATAGGTTTTAAAACTTTTCTGAAACTCTTTTGTTCAGAAATCATTTCTGCCTGAATTGCTTTCAGATTCTGATTACATTCCCTCTCATGTTTACCTCAGAGTTTTTTGAAAGTTAAAAAAAGAAATCCCCTTAATCAAATGAGAGAATAAAAACAAGGAATTCTTGTCATTCTCATTTTCTCTGAGGTACTACAGTTCTTCCCTTCTCACTTAAAAAAAAAATTGATCTACGTTAAAACCTATCAATAAAGTGCCTAAGAAATCATTATGGTATGCGGCAGGGGGGTAAAAGCAAGGAGAGCGAGATCCCAATGACTGTTAGGCTCTCTATATTCTATTTCAGAGGAGTACTGGTGGAAGTCACAAAAAAAGTTTACATACAGCAGTCACTCACACCTAGTTCATCCACAGATAAAACCAAAAATGCCTTTTAAATGAAGTTTACTAATTTCCTCTCTGACCTAAATAAAACATGTTTGGGGAAGGAGAGGCTGAATGTGGGCTTCTCATCCATAAATAGTGTATAAAATTAAACTGGACCCAATGTTGTGCTAGAACCATTTTAATATAATTATACATATCTGCCAAATCCAGGAAGAAAAGGTTTATGCATATATAACTTTTCCAGTTAACATCTGCAAGCATAAACGACAATGATCTCAGTTTATAAATTCATCAGGGTCAGAGCAATTGACCAATGTCTCTTTACTGCTAGGCTTACCAACAGTAAATTACAGATGAATTAGTGTCCTTTTGTTTCTCTTCTCTCACTCTCCTTGTCCAGAGACATTCTGTAGTAAAGTTTCAGTGCAGCTCACCTCCAGCCAAAGGTAATCTTTTTAGATAAGTACTCAGTTGCTCTGAATTTGCTTATAATTATAACCTATTTAATCACAGAAGAACCCCTGCAGAGGTGGAGTTCAAGGTTGCATACAATAACAGGAGATCACAGTTTTGAAGTCTAGCACAGATTAAAAACCACAGATGTACCATTTATATAAGACACACACTGATTGTCTCTTAAACTACATATTGACTCCTTATGAACATTATTTTTTAAATAAAGTAGTGCATCTAGGACAATCAGTCGCACAATTCACACAGCCCTGAAAAGTTTTTCAGTGCCAACTACCAGTTGGTCATGAAACGTGAGTGAGCTTGAAGACACTGTCCATTCCTAAGATTCAACCACGGATTGGCTAAAACATTGGAACACCTCTGGCTTAAGAAGGCTACTATGTCCTTCCCTCCTTTCCCTCACAATTTAGTTTTGTTTATTTTTGGTGGTGTTTGGTTGTACATGGCTAGAATGCTTTTGATCACTTTGCAAATCAGGAAAACCAATGATCTAAGACTATGACAGGATCTTAAGTAGACTGGTTTGTCCATTTCAGGTTGCTGGTTGGTAGGCCCCTCTAAGGCCCTTCATTTTTCCTTCTATGCCTCCCGGAACATTGATCAGAAGATGAGTCTGAGCATCATCCCATCTAACTCTTTTAACCAATGCCTGGCTAAAACTGGAATGTCCAGCCCAGTATATTTAAAAATCACCCACAAAGAGGTTCTACGGATCTTCACAAAACCTGGAATTTCCATGAGGATGTCTGATCTTTATAATCCAAGCAGTCAGCATTGAAGTTAAGCTTCCAGGAGGCAGTTTGGTCCTTATAATCCAAGCAATCAGTGGTTGAGTTAAAACCCAAGCTTGAAGCGCCATATCCCTGGGTGGAAAGAGAAGCTGGGGACTGATTGAGATGGCTGGTGACTGCATTGGTACCCATGGGGCTGAGTGTGGCCCCTGGTCCAGGAAGCTGGTGATGCATTGGGGTCAAGTAAGATCCACAGTCCATGCCCCCAAAGTAGGAAGTTGAGCCAGCATATCCTTGACTATAACCTGAAGCCTGAGTATAGGTCATGGGATAGGACCTCTGCATGCAGGAAGAGGAGGTGGACAAGGGATCTGACAGTGGGGAGATGGAAGCTGGGCTCCAGATAGACACAGGAGCACTGCTGCTGGAAATGGCCGGGACTGAGGTGCTAGAGGGGGGAGTGAATTGGCCACTTGTTCCACTCTCTGAACTCACTTCCCGAGCTGGAGATGTCTTCTTTTTGGCAGGTCTCACTTTGTTTTGACCTCCATTCTGTTGCTGCTGCTGTTGTTGGCGGCACTTAGCTCTCCGATTCTTAAACCATACCTTGAAAGGGAAAGAAACTTCTTTAACGTGGTTTCAGTAAGGACAAGAGTGGCTCCCAGATTATAGGTGAGCTAAGCAGACAATCTGTCCTGCCACTGAAAACCTATACTATGGTACTTTTATATATACCCCTGGAATTGTAAGAAAGTGGGGAGGCTCTGTCTAAAAGCACTGGACTCCTAGCCCAGAATAAATCCTATGGCTAAAAATTTTCCCTCATTTTCCTCTCTCATTATTTCACCTCAAATACACACATACACATAGACCCAGTGTTACCATGGAACATTCTTACAGTGGAATACAATGTATCTATGTCTTCTGGAGGTAAACACAGAGGTGAGGGAGAACGATTCTGTTGTTACTAGCCAACAAGAACAGCCTAAATTCAAGGTTTCCAGTCCATCTTCCAGGGAATAACTGCTAATCACTCTACCTTTTTCTCTCAAGCAAGCTCCAAGGAGAAGTGATCCTGTTGAAGATGGGAGGTCTGAAAGCCACTATTTGCTGAAATCTTTACAGTAAGTGGAATGACTTGTATGTAGTTTGCTTTGAGCTTGAGGACAGACTTCTCAGCTCATCTCAAGTCTGACACTGGAGTCTTTGACTTCAGGGTAGTGCCACTCGGCACATGGATTCAGTTTCCTGTACTATGTCCACTGGCTTGTCAATTTAAGCCTCTGCCTGCAACTCTGAAGATTCTCATTACCAGCCCTGTTCATGTTCTGCAATGACAGAGCAGTGTTTTGTGTGTGAGGGGGCCTATCAAAGAAACTACCACCCTTTTTTGAGAGAAACTACAGGCATTTTCTGAGCAACAAGTCCTTAGCGGTCTTCTTGAATGAGCTCAACATATGGGCGTGTTAACTGTGCCACCAAGGCTGAGCATGTCACCACAGATCATTCAGAGCCATTTATTTTCTTTCAGTGAAGACTCGAGTTCAAGCTTCACAAATCCTAAAACTTCTTCCATCTTACTTTGAAAAGTCTTTTTCCTGGTTTGCAGTTCATACTGGTATGTCCTAGCTGAAGGGGAGTCCCAGGTGTGTGTGTGTGTGTGTGTGTGTGTGTGTGTGTGTTTAGGTGCTAAATATTCTTTCCAGAGAACTCTGTATGGTGTTTGCATTTCAGAAAAGTTGGGAGATTACTTTCCCTCTCCAGCTTCAGGTCAAGTTAAGGGGGAGGGGGGGTGTCACTGAGGATATTGCGTTGGTATTTTATCAGCTAAATGGCTCAGAGCTAGCAAATTCTGTTCAATCCCTAAGAAGTCAAAGAAAACACTTTTATTGTGTAATTTCTTTGGTAAGAGCACCAGCTGCTTCTACAGCCTGGTTCTACCACCCAAATGTCGTGTGACCTTGAGTAAGTCATTTACTCCATTTCTTCATGTGTAAAAATATTGGGACTCTCCAGAGCTAAGCTTCTTTCACCCCTAAAAGTAGATGAAAATGGGGTAGGATTTCCACATGGGGAAAGGGAAGGAAGTATTAAAATATTAAGTAACTGTCCTTGAAATCTGCCCAGGCCGGGCCTCGGTTGGCTGGGGACCCGAGAGCTCTAGAATTGTGCTTTATTACTGCAGCAAAATCGCCAGTCTTACCTTACAACTTAGGCCAGAAGGCTCTTGCTTATAGGATTGGGTGGGGGTGGGGGTCAAAAAGGTGATGAGGAGTAATCAGGCATGTGAAGGGGCCTTAGAAGTTTACTGGCCTCCAATGGAGCGCTCAGTTTCAAGCCTTCCTTTGGTCCTCTCTAAGACCTGGGACTCTCCTGGGTCCTCGACATATACCGTGCTCAGGGGAGGGGTGGCACGGTCGGGAAGGATGGTTCTATCTACATCTGCCCTACCTGCACCCTGGACTCGGGCAAGTTGATTTTCAGCGCCACCTCCTCCCGCATGAAGATGTCTGGGTACCGGGTCTTAGCAAATAGAGCTTCCAGCACGTCTAGCTGAGCCCGGGTGAACGTCGTCCTTTCCCGGCGCTGTTTCCGGGGAGTGGCTGCGGGACAAGAAGCCCAGGGCCCTTTAGGGTGGGGGAGCAGTTTCTCAGTCATAGGGATCTCTGCCGGGGCTCTGACTCCCCCGACCCCCACTCCCAGCACTTCCCTCATCCTCCCAGCCCTGCAACCCCGAGCCTATCAGTGTTTTCCCCCCCCCCCCTCCCTGGGCCTGGGCTCCTCCAGCGAACACTGGGTCGCAAGACACACACTGTCCCTTCCAGGGAGGCCCCCCCACTCCACCTGACGTCGGGGATCGCTCCAGCCAGAGCAGCCCTTCGATAGCTAACAAATGAAATAAAAGGAAGCCAAAATCCAAAAACCCCTCAAAATCAACCCCTAAACCACAACACAAACAAAAAATCCATTCCCTGAAGTCAAAGGATCCCCAAGGACCCACAGTTCAGACTGATGGGGCGAAATCCCGGTCCTGCTCGAGATCCTCGCTTTTAGGACTCCAAGGGCCTTTGTTCCTCCATCTTTAAAATGGGGGCATATTTAAAACTTCTACGAGGATTAAAAACAAAACAAAACAAAACAAAACAAAACAAAACAAAACAAAACAAAACACCACCCAGATCTGACGGGAAAGGAAAGCACCCGTAAATCACACCGCTAGGGATTAGAGGCAGAGGGCCTGGAGGTCAGAGGGGAAGCCCCAGACATGGTGGGGAGAATGTAGGAGGCCCCAAGCATGGTGGGGAGAATTTAGGAGAGACCCAGCTTCTCAAAGAGGGCACTTCCGAAGAACTGGGCTTCGAGATATGGGCAGAGGCAGTAACCTTCCTTCCCCCCACCCCACAGTGTGTCCCCCATTCACTCCAGTTAAGAATAAAGCATTCTGAGTTTCTGCAAGTGTTGCGGGATCCACCTACTCCCTCCAGCCCCTATTCTTCCCTCAGGCCGGTTAAGTGCCCTGTGGCTCTGAGCTGCTTCTTAGAAGGAAAATCCAGTGGGGACACCACGCCTGGAGCTGGAGTGGGGCAGCAGGACCGTCAGCCCCAGTGTTCCGGGGGAAAGGGTGTCATATCCCCGAGGCACGGGCGTGGGGAAAGGCGGGGCGGGAGTGCCGCGAGGCTCACTTACCCGGGTAGCCCACTGAAGGGTGCAGCAAGTCCATGCCGGAGGTGGTCAGACTCAGCCCATTGACGGCGTAAGGCGGTTGCTTAAGATAAGACATCATGCTAAGGTTGTTTGGAGGCGCAAAATCGGCCCAAATCGGGGGGACCCAGCCAGAAGGTCTCGCTTCGCCGGGAGTGGACAGATTCAGGGTCCTTGGTGTGTGGGTTGGGAGCGGTTAACTATGGACAAAGCAAACAAACAAACAGAGGTGCTGGTTTACTGCTTCGCAGGCGGCAGCTCTTCCACGTTCCACCACTAACTTAAAAAGAGCCCGGGCTATGCAAGGTAGAGGCTTTTAAAGGACTTGCAACCCACCCCCCCCCACCCCCACCCCCAGCTGCTCTGGAACTAGAGGGGAGGGAGAGAGACCAGATAAACCTGTCTTCCCCACCCCCACCCTAAACTTAAAAAAAAAAAGTACCAGAAGAAAGCAATTACAATCTGCCTTCCCCAAGAACAAAACCCCACGCCTTCAAATGCACACATTGCATTCCTATCCCTACATTTGCATAGGACTCATTGGCTGGCACTAGCTAATTGTCTCAAACAAAACTTGATTGGGGCCATTTGCAGAGACAAAGAACTCTTTGGCTAAATAAATAATGCTGATAACAAAGCCCATTGGTGAGAAACAAAGAAACAATTCAAGAAATCTACCTCTCCCCAGACTGTTGCCTTTCCAAGGCAAATTTTAATTACCTTAGCTTTTTACCACTTTTAACTGCTGTGATCCTAAAATGTCATTGCATTTAACATCTAAAATACCAACTTGCTAATCGACAAACTTGAGAAAACTGCTCAACCGCTATTACTTCACATTTGAAGTCATTTCCAGTAATCATTTTCACCTAATTAGTAGTCTGGGTAATTAGATTTTGAGGTAAGTAACAGATTTATTAAGGTTTTGGAGGACCTTGATTATGTGTCTAAAGAACTAAAGCTAAACAAACAAGTATTTAACTTTTAATCGACACCCATCAAATATTTAAACATACTGCAAAAAAAAAAAAACCTTAAAAGATTGGCACGAGGTTTGCTAGAAATTCTGAAGTTAGAATCCCACCAATCAGATAATGACAGGCCCCCACATTTGCAAGTAGAAAGGGTGTGCATTTGTAGTGCAAGCCGCTTCCATGTTGATTTTGAGGTTGTGGAGGCTGCAGATCCTGCAGGAGGCAAATTTTCAGACATTTGGGTCCTCAGCAACTAGAGCAGAGTTTCTTGTTAATTCCGGCGGCTTTTTGCACATTTTAGTTTTGAAGAAAGTAGATACACAAACACCCAAAGTTGTGAAACTAATAGAATTTCTCCCTACCTTTCAAGTTTTCTACAATCCTATAAGAAAAAGAGCTCAGGGAGGCAAAAGAAAGGAAGAAAAAGAAAAGTTATTTACTTTCTTCAGCTGAGTGTCTCTCACTGCCCCAAGCAAAGGGATCCAAAATGGATGTTAATATGGGCTGACAGTTTTCAAGTCTGGCTTTTATTTGCTTAAAAAAATGGCACTTATCTTGCAAGGATCTCTACTTTGCAACTTTGACACTATGAGAGATTGCTTCAAAATGGCGGATACAAGATTAGGAGAAGTTCCCTCTTACTTTGACAAAGGTCCTACTGAGTTTTCAGGAATGGATTTTCATATTTACATTGCTTTAGAAATCAAGGCACAAAATTCCACAAATGGAACTCAGTCACAGCAACTTCTTCCTGATTTAAATTCATAGCACAAAAATCATGCTTTTCCACCCTCAGATCTAATTCAATGTAATTTTATAAATACCCTTCTCGGAGGACTTTGTACTATCTCACCAATAGAACTAATTTGGTTGCTGCTATAACAAAGACTTGATATTTTCTGCTCTCTTTTCAAGACAGTTAGTTATTTGGAAGCTGTGAAAATAATATTGCTTTAAAATAGTCATTTTATTTGTCTAAATAGACTCCAAGCTGGAGTTTTCTCTTGTTTAATACAATATGTTGGAAAAGTTCTGAACTACTATAGAAAAAAATAAAATCAAAGCAGATGTACACATGAGAAATGCGGAATTGTTCTTACATGTAGAACTCTCACCCAATTAGAAAAGTCTGATTCAGAAAGCGGCACATTCCAACATAAAAAGCAGTAACGGATAGAAAGCACCAGGCAAAGATCCTTCTTGGAGCTCCTCTGCCCTTACCATCGCAAAAATCATTAAAATTTAGGGATAAACTGTTTTCGCTTTTACTATTGTATGCATCTTTAAAATAAAAAAGAAAAATACCCCCAAATAAAACTACTAAGTCCTCTCAGCACCCGGTCTATGCACTCTCCAAAGAAGAGGCCATGGGCCCTTCCATCTAACTTTCAAAGCCCCCAAAGAACACCTTTCTCCCTTCCTGTCTAAGCCGAGCCCAGAAGGGGAAACAGAAATACCCCGTCAAAAATATAAGCTTCACTATGATTGCTCATGAGGTGGCCGCTGGAGAACTCCTACCTACGGGACTGGGTGACGGTCGTCCGGCGAGTCCCCGCAGCCGGTGGGCGCCCGCACCTCCAGGCGCGAGTGCCTCGGTCCGGCGTCCCTGCCCGGCAGCCCCGCAGTCCTGGCGCCCCAGGTCCGGCTCCACTGTCCGCCCCGGCCCGCGCCGCCTTATATCTAACGGTCAATTCGTGCAATCTGTCGCTCTCCCCCCCTCCCCCGCATCCCCCCCCTTGTTTTTTTTTTTCTTCCAAGGAGCCCATCTACCAGTTGCTGTGTCCTCGCTCAATAATAATTACCTCGTCCAAGAATTAATTATAATAAATGTTTTCTTGATAAACTAACGAGATAATCCGAGGGGCACACGTCCCTTAATTACAGGCCGCCGAGCTCAGCTCTGCTTCTCGTCCGGGCCGATTAATTTTCTGCATGATGGAAAAGAAACAAAACTACGCGGACTGGCGACTGGCCTGTGGCTCGGAAGACAGCGAAGAGCAAGAGGAGAGAAAGAAAAGAGGAGAGATGTGGGCACCGCGGAAACAGCCGGCGCGGGCCTCCCTCTCCGGCGAACTCCAGTGAAAGTTTCTGGCCTCAGGGAATCGAACAGCGCTGCCACCCGCGAGGGAGGGAGGAAGAAACGTGCCAAAAGGGTTGGCCTTGACTATTAATTATGGTGAGGAGAAAGCCCCAGTGTTAGCTGTGTGAGGAGAGGTCTGGGTGTCTACCTTCCTTTGGGGGGAGGAGTTTCCTCTCCAACTCGTCTCCTGTGCTAATAACTTTTGGTGCCTGGAAAAAGTCCCGAAGTGAGTGGGAGAAATCCTGACCCCGAAGCTCTAGGACGGAGGGGAGGATTTCCAGGAGCGACTGCCCCCGTCCCCTCCCCAAGTCATCCACCACTCCAGGATCAACGCAGCTCGGCCTTCTGTCCCCATACCCCACTTCTGTCTGTAAAGGAGGAAAAAAGCCAACTCGTTGGAGTTCTGACGCGGGACTGGGATTTCAAAAAAAATGTGTTCTGAAATCGGACTGTGATTTCAAGAGAACGCATCAACACGGAGACTTCTCTGGAGTTGGCGGCGTGACACGTCGCCGAGGCAGGCTGCTGGCGGAGACCTGATGGTCCTCCCTGGGTGGACCGAGAACGGAGGCTGGGCCTCAGGGCACCCCTCGACCCCGGCCCGGCCCCACGACACTCGGTTGTCCCCGAGCCCGGGAGGGGAGCGCGCGAACGCGCACGCAGGGCCCGGCGCTGCCCCCGGTCCAGAACCGCGGAGGGGGCGCCTCCCCCAATGTAAGGATTCCTGTTCCCGGCCCTGCCGCGGCCTCGGGCGGACCAGGGGCCACTCACCAACACTTCTGCCAGCCCCAGGTGTTTGGGGAGGGCTGTACGGGGCGGGCCCGGAACCATCCCGGGCTAAGTCACATCGCAAAACGACTCTCCTGCTCTCGCTCGGCCTGGTGACCCGGGTCTGGGACCACGACAACCGGGGATGGGGGAGTTACTGCACTCCCAGGTTATTGTGGGGGGAGAAAAGTGGTGATCAAAAAGGAAAAGGAGACCTGGTGGCCTCTGGAGAGGCCGAGAACGGAGGGCGAATCTTGGTGAGCTGCTCTTGGCTCTGGGGAAAGGGGACCGGAAAGAGAGCGGCGAGCGCCGGGCGGACTAGCTCCCGGCCGCTCCACGCCTCCTCGGTTATCCGCTCGCGTTTCCTCTCACGTTCATTAGGGGCAGGCAGGGGGCTCGAGCTGCGACCGTCCTCACCCGCCGATCGGAGAGCGAGTCGGGCTTCGGGCACGCTGGCTCTAGAAGACGCCTATCTTATTATTATCCATCCATCTAGCTACATCTGCATCTTTTTGTCTCTGACTCTGAAAATGTCCTTGAGATCAGTGCAAATGACCCAACCACATCTGAGGGCCAAAACGAAAAATAGCAGGGAGAAATGGGCGTTGACATAAAACAAAACCACAAACAAAACCCGTCCAAAACACCCCACATTAGCCTCGCAGGGTTTCCACGACGTTTGGCGGAAGCGGCGACCCCAGGAGCGCGCTGCCTCCCCTCCTCCCACTCCCGCCCTCACCTCCAGATCATACATTTTTCGCAATGATCGTTACTACACCTAAAAATTTTACGAGGGAGAAAAATACAGCATGCTTCGGAAGAACTCCACGTTCGCAGAAGTGTGTATCAGTCGGTCTACTGGAGGTACTGGGGCGATGGTAGTCAGAGGGGCACATGGATATGGACAGGCAAACAAGACAGACGGAGACTTACCTTACAGCAGCATGGGAAGTTAGAAAAAAATTAAATTATCCTTCAAAATTCCAAATAGCCCGCTATCCTAAAAGAAATCAAGAGTATTGAGTTAGAAATCTTGCAGTCTTCACCCCTCCATAAAAAGTCAAACAACGAAAAAAAATTTAAAGAATAGAAAATGAGGAAAGTAGCTTGAGTTCGAAACACGCGTGGGTCCCTCTGTGATACATACAAAGTAGACGTGATGAGGGCTGTTCTAGCGATTTTTATTTTTAATAACAGTGGAGGCTGAGTTGGAGCTGAGGTCGGTTCCGCTCTCAGGGAGATTTGCTGAGAAAGCGCCTC